TCTACTGTTATTTCTTTCTACTAAGTTTGAGTTTAATAGTTGTCCTTCTAGTTCTTTGAGATGTACGTTGTTTAGTGCATGTTTTTAGTCTTCTGATTTCAGCAATGTTCAGTGGTTTCCTTTCTGTTAGTGAAATGAACTCCCTTCCCATAGCTTAGTATACTCCTTCCCGTTTCCACAGCTTAGCATGCTTCCTTCCCAAGCAACATTAGGATCATTTAGTAAAGGCAGTAAATAATCAGCCTCCAACTTTCTTTACCTTGGGATGGCACTTCTCTGGGGAAACTACCACCATAGAAGGCAACAAGAGCTCTTTAGAGTGACCTTCAGGTCTGGGCAGTTGCAGGACCCCTTATCTACTGTTTGGGCAGCAGCCATACATCCTAGTCTGCCATGATGAAGCACTTGTCCCATACGTCCATACCAAGGTCTCTGCCTCCTAGCCCCTTCAAGCCCCTCCTAAACCCCCTATGTTATATAGGTCACCTCAGGCAATAGCCAGCGTTTCTTCTCACTTCTCCTTTGTGAGAAGGGGTCTTGCTGGCCCCTTTCCCGGCAATAAACCTTTCTTTGTTCTCTGTACCTGGATGTCTGTGGTTTTCTGGCAAAGTCTAAAATAATTTAACACTTTCAATCTTTTATTTTCCATATCCATAAATTTTGATATTCATTATTTTCATTTATTTCAAGTTTATTTCTAGATTTTGTCTTCATTCATTGGTTGAAAATATTTTAATTTTCATGTATTTTATGTTTTCTAAGTTACTTTAATTTTTGTTCATGTCTACCCTTAATATTTTGTGGCCTGAATGTGTGGTTATATGACAATATTTTTAACTTTGAGTTTGGGATTTTTCCCTATGCTGCATGTTGGTGAGAGATGCTTCATTGGCAAGTTGGGTGGGATGTTTTGTAGATGTATGTGATGTAGGGTGAAATGTAACTCTTTTGCCACTACTTTTATTTTGTTGGGATGTTCTCTCCAGTGCTAAATGTGCTGTGATAAATCTGTAGCTATTATCGTATTAGGGACTTATTCTATCTCAAAGACTGCTTTGATTGCCTTTGTATAAATATTTACCCACTAACCAAGCAATTAGTGGGTAAATTAGTGGGTTAGTGGATAAATATTTATGATGAGTTATAATTTCACCTTGCTGATCTGACTCCTTCATTATTGTAATATGAACATGTCTCTCTTCATTGCTTTGATTAAAGTCCATATAATTTAAAGTTTTATGGATATTCCAGCTTTCTTTTGGCTTCTATTTGCATGGACTGCTTTATTCTACTCCTTCCTTTGCTTCTTTTTTTTTTTTTAGAAAAATTGTCAAGGTGATGTACAGAGGAGTTACAGTTACATAGGTAAGGTAGTGAGTATTTTTCTTGTCAAACTTGTTATCCCCTCCCTCATTTTTCTCCCGCTTTCCCTCCTTGCAAACCCCTCCTCACCCCAGTGTCCCACATGTTGTACAGTTCATTTCCAACATGTCTTATGGGAATCATTGTTTCATTGGCTCACCATTTGTCCTTTGTCTCACCATCGTGTTGTTCCCTTTCCCTTCCCTAATTCAAACAAATGTATATACAATACCCAGGGTACCAAAATCAAGTACAGCAACAATAGGAGATAAACCACAGGAAAAAGAAAAAAAACACAAAACAAAGAAAGAAATCACAGTACATTAAGAAGAACAACAACAACAACAAAACCTTGTGTTTGCATGTTTTGGAGTTCATTTCGCTTAGCATCATCTTATATGGTCATAGGGTCACAGTTATTGAGCTTTTCTGCTCATCTGCTGGAATTATCCTAGACATATACTAATTGTTACAAACTCTACTCCTTCCTGTGAATTTTATGTGTCCTTGAGGATGACGCGAATTTCTTGGAATCAACATAAAGTTTGGCCATGAATTTTTAATTGATTTTTACTAATTCAGCCACATCATGTGTTTCAATTGCAGATTTTCAGGCATTTGCATTCACAGCAATTCTTGACAGATCACTTTTCTTGACAGATCACTTTTCATTACTGTTACAATGTAACTTGTTCTCCAGGTGTTTTGTTGTTTGTTTTTTCTTCAAATTTTGGAGTCTTTATTTTAACATTAGTGGACTGCAGAAGGCCAATTACAAAGACCTACATCCCCAAACAGAGCTTGCACCTAGCTTTTAAAGACAAAGGTCACATGTTGTGTGGAGACCCAACCTCAGCAAAGTATTATACATAAACACAGCACAAGGAGCAGAGCTCCCCTGGAGCTAAACAACATGATGTATCTATATTTCCCCAAGGCAGGGTCCTCCTGGCTCTACCTACTGAGTCTGAAGTCTACAATTCAAAGGATGGCTTATAGGCCTTGGGGCTGGGTGGACAGACCCACATCTCCTAACTAGGCTTCAGGATGTCTGTGAAATCAACAGCCCCAGCACCTGGCCAGGCACAAGGATGGCACAAGGTTGTGACTCAGTTTCCCCACTACATTCCACCCTGCTCTTTATGTACATGAAATCAAATCATCCTCATTCCACCCCCTCACTGATCTTTTTTATGATTTATTTTTGTTCAGTCATGGGGGCAGAACTCTGGGCCTGTGTGCTGTCCCTCAGCTCTTCAGCTCAAGTGCCATACCACTTGAACCACTGCGCAACTTCTGGCTTTTTTCTGCTTATGTGGTGATGAGGAATTGAAACCAGGACCTCATGCATATGAGGCAAACACTCTACCACTGAAACCAACTTCCCAGCCCCCACCCTCCACTGCTCTTCTGCACATTAAAAAATGATTTTTCAATGAGAAATAGATTGGGCTCATTTAATCAAGTTACTTTAACCAAAGTTTATAAGGAAGGCCTTTTGGCCTACACTTGTCTTATTAGCATACCAACATAACCAGCCTCTCCCAGGTCTCAGTGGGGTAAGATTCACAAATCTGTGTCACACAAAAGAATGGCCCACAGCCATAGTCTTAGTTTTAACAATCAAAGCAGCCTTCCACTGGGAAGCAGTTACAGTGATGGAGTCAAGCAGGAGTTCCATCCACTTTCTCATGTAGGGGATGGTCAAGATGACAATGTAGATTTTCCCCCAGATTACTGTCAGGCTGTCCTTGTTCTCCAGTTTTATTGAAGCTTCTTCCATTTTCTCTTTCCTTCTTTCAGAGATTTCTAGAAGTGATTAACAAGTGAGTTCACAGGTTGTGTGTTTTGATTTCTGGTTTGCTACTTTTTATTTGTCAATTGTAGGTTTTCACTTATGGTCATAAGAAGATTAAAATATATTTGATTACAGCAAGCTACTTTGGATGATGACAAAAAGCCACAATAATAAAAGATGAGAAGAAAAGTAAAGAATAAAAAATACACTCACATGAAATACAGATCTAAATATGATCAAAGTCCATAAGTGAAGGTTGAGAAATGTCATAATGAAATATCTCCAGACAACTAAAATAGTTAATGCACACTAAGGAAAAATCTATAATGGCACTGTATTTCTCACATCATTTCACATGTTTGTTATTCAAGTTTACATTGTCCTATAATGAATGCTGCAAAATTATTATTGAAATAATTTCCATGATTATTAAAAATACTTTTACGGTTTGACTGACATATTTGCTGTATTAGAACATTCTAATTTCTTTTTTATTGTTATATTTAAAGTGATGTACAGAGCAGTAATAAGTACATAATAAGTAATAAGGTAATAAGTACATTTCTTTTTAATTAATTAAATTTTCAATCTCATTTATTTATTTTTATTGTAAAGACATGATGTACAGATGGTTTAGAGTTACATAAGTCAGTTAATGAGTACATTTCATTTTTTATTGTGCGAAATGAACACCAAGATAAGGACACAAATGTTTTTTTCTTTCTTGCTATTGTTTCTAACATATTTATAAGATATTTATTTGTTGCTTTGTATGTCCCTCCCCCACGGTATAACCTGTTTTCACTGTATTTGATGTTGGTATAATTTGTGGAGGGGAAGGGAAAAAACAAATTGTTTAAATAGGGATACAGTACATTTCATTTTGAAGAATGTCACCTCTTTCCTTGTTTTCTCAGTTCTTTGAATTGCATGCCTTATTAGTAAAATTATCTCTACGTGTATATATAATTATATATAGAGAGATTATATATTCCATTTCAGTATTTACATCTAAATATACTTAGACAAGCAGAGTGTTCCTGGAGGTGTTTCAGAAGAGTGCATTTCATTATGGTAGCCATGGAAGTGGGATTTCAACATAAGCTAGTTACAGTTTGATCCTTAGTCACAATATGATGCTTTGTTTGTATATAATGTGTTATTTGAAATTGAATATAAGGATTGAATTGTAAAACACTTTCTGAGTGATGCATAGTGCTTCTGAAGGAACTCGTTTACTTCAGATATTCCATTAGTTAGATTAGCCTGACATAGCCATATAACACAAACTATGTATCTTAAAATTTTATTTTCATACATATGGACCTAGTTAACCTAAAGTTAAGACAATAGACTATTTGGAGTCTCACAAGGACCTATCCTAAATTTAATGGAGCACAGTTGTTTGGTGTTTTATGTAGCAAACAGACAAAACAACTCTTTCTGGGCTTGCATAAAGATCTGATCTCATTCCAAATAATTCTATTTGTATTTGTAAATATGTGCACATGAATCCACATTCTCATCCAACCCAATAGAGGGTAATGTTTAAATACATTAATTGAGCAGAGGAATAAACATTCAATCCCTCAAAGGCATTGCATTGTATTTGAAGACTAGGTTCTAAAGTACTCTTCCTAAAATTTTATGCCCACAATGCAGGTTTACTTTCAAGAACTACCAGTTTATTCTTGCCTTGGCTTTTGCTGTTGAGGAAATTAACAAGAACCCTGATGTTTTACACAACCTGACACTAGGATTTGATATCTATGATGTTGATTTCAAAAGTTCATTTGTATTTGAGAAGCCTTTTCTTTGGCAATCTGGGCAGTACAAGATTCCAAACTACACCTGTATGAGAGAAAGAAAGTCTGTGGCAGTACTTACAGGAATATCAGGAACAACATCGGCCACAGTAGGGACACTGCTGGAACTCTACAGATTTCCACAGGTGAATGTGGGAGGAATGAGGAAATGTGAAAACATGTCTACTTTGGTGTGAAGAAAGAGGTTTTTGAGCCAATCAAATTTTATGCTACCAAATGTTAGTTTGTTTTTGTGCCAGTCCTAGAGATTGTACTCAGGGTTTAGGCATTGTCGCCAAGCTTTTTGGCTCAAGTCCTGTGCTGTACCACTTTAGCCAGAGCTCCACTTCTGGCTCTTTGGTGCTTAAGTAGAAGTAAGAGCCTCATGTACTTTCTACCCAGTCTGGCTTTAACTGTGATCCTCAGATCTCAACTACTTGAATAGTTAGGCTTATAAACATAAGCTCCCAGCATCTAGCAATAACAGTTTTAAAAAAGGAAAATTAGCCTTTCTTCCTCCCACATGCAGCTTTGTTTAATATACTTCAAGATTGAGATTGTGATAGATGCCTGTCTTCTTATTCACAGAGCCCTCAATTTTCTCATCCCTTTAGCTTACCTTTGGGGCTTTTGATCTTATCCTGAGTGATTCCAGCAAATTTCCTTCTCTTTATCAGATGGCCCCAAAGGACACAACTCTAGCCATTGCCATAGTGTCCTTACTGCTTCATTTCAGCTGGAACTGGGTGGGGCTGCTCATATCACAAGATGGGAATGGTTTGTGGATTCTTCCAGAATTGAGAGAAGAGATGTCCAAGAACAGAGTCTGCATAGCCTTTGAGGAAGTGGTGCCAGTCCGCACCTTGTCAGAGATATCGAGATTGATGGTAATATATAATGAGATTAATAAGTCATCAGCAAATGTTTCCATCATTTATGGTGATAATGAATCCCTACTTGAGTTAATGTTGTATTTTGAGCAATTTTTAATAACAGGAAAAGTTTGTATCATAAACTCCTCGTGGGATTTAACTATGAGAAGCAGATATTTCATACTTGGCTCATTCCATGTACCTCTCATATTTTCACACCACTTTGCACACATTGCTGGGTTCACAGATTTTATAAGGGCAGTTAACCCTTCCAAATACCCAGAGGACTTTTACCTTGCTAGGTTTTGGTTTCTGTCTTTTAACTGCTCACAGAATGAATCTGAGTGTGTAACCTGGGTGAACTGTCCATATGATGCCTCCCTGGAATGGTTGCCTGGGCAGATTTTTGACATGACCATGTCTGAAGAGAGTTATAATATATACAATGCTGTGTATGCTGTGGCCCAGGCTCTCCATGAGATGCTTCTTGAGCAAACAGAAGAACAAACAATGGGAAATAGAATAGGGACAGTGCCTTCCCCTGCACAGGTAATGCCTTCTGTGTCAGATGGTATACACCATTAGCAAAGTCACTTCCTAATGGGGTATCATATAGTATGAAATTAAATCTTTCAGATACTTTTCAAAACCAAGAAAAAGTAATACTGAATTCGATGTCTGTGTGGTTGCCTTTATACCCTTCTTTCCATGTTTTTAAAGAAAAATAAACAGCTGGAAAAAAAGTATTGGGTTTTATCTTTCCATCAATGATTTGTTTTACAAATGACTTCAACTTGCTCATTGTCAATGGTTTAAAAATTGTACACCCAGATTTTCTCATCTCTCAGAATTATTATCTAGTATTAACTATACATTTCATAAATGTTCACATTTCAAACTCAGATATTATGAATTTAGTTAACAAACATTTTATAGAGATTCCTGAAATTATTGGTTATAGTAAACAGTAGCTAGGCAACTGAGAAGTATCTCATTTATGAGTATTTACATAGAATTTGTTTCTATTGAAAGAAGTTGTTGGTCTTTCTTAGGTTCTACTGTAATTTGTATTTGTGTTAATCTTGAATTATAAGGCAGGGATTAAAGACAACGGGGATCTTTTCTTAATTCAGATTTTCTGTCTTAACTCTTGGATTCACTTCACCATAAGATGTTATATTTCCATATGACCAGATAAGGTGAAGTTAAGCGAAATGAACGCCAAGATAGGACACAAGTGGTTTTTTTCTTTCTTGCTATTGTTTCTAACATATTTATAAGGTACCATGTGATTTTTTTTGTTGCTTTGTATGTCCCCCCCTAAGGTATAACCCCTGTTTTCACTGTATTTGATGTTGGTATAATTTGGGGAGTCGAGGGGAAAAAACAAAATGTTTAAATAGGGATACAGGTGGATCCATTGCAACAATGAGATGTAGAAGACACTATGTTGGGAAAGAAACTTCGTAATTTAGGCAGGGGGGAGTGTATTTGTGGAGTTGGAGGGAAGGGATGGTAGGGTAAAACAAAGGAGGAGGCAACAATGCTTAATAAGAAATGTACTCATTACCTTGCTCAAGTAACTAACCCCTCTGTGGAGTATTTTCACAATTAAAAACTTATTAAAAAGAAGATGTTGTGTTTTATTTAGCTGCATCCTTTTCTGAAGAACATACAATTTCACAATCTTGTTGGAGCCCAAGTGGTTTTGGATGACAGAAGGAAGGTGGAGGCAGAGTACGATATTGTAAACATTTGGAGTCTTCCAGAAGGTCTTCAATTTAAGGCAAAAATAGGAAAATTCAGTCCATATGCTCCGCATGGTCATCAATTGTCTGTGTCTGAAAATATGATAGAATGGGGCCTAAGAACTACCAAGGTGGGTTGGATCTAACTGTAATGATTTGAACTAATTAGAAACAAGCAAAAATCCAGAATTTATACTCCTGCTCATGAATAACCTGACATTGTACATTTAAGTATTTCAATGGGATTTTATATATACTGAGTCCTGAAAAGGAAAGAAATGCATGAACTTAACAGTATATTTGTAAATAGACATCTATTTCACATAATCAAATATAAATGACATCTTAGAAATTTTCTACCATTCTGACAAAAATCTCAATAATAAATTTCTAAGAATATGTAATAATCAATTTATAAGAATCTCATAATTAATAAGAATCAACAAATCAATTATTATTTCATACTTCTTATGCTGGTGATTCAATGATTAGTTGGCCTCTTCCTTGGGTATTTTTGGTGAAGGGAATCATGTAAGTAGCCTGTTTTGGAAGAGCATCCTATCTCATGTTACTGGAAAACAAAAAGGAAAGTATTATGGACCTGCAAATAACAAAACCCCACAGAAGGGAAGCCTATGATTTATTTTATAGCATGTTTTTAAAGCTTCAAAAAGGTTTCTTCCTTCATACTATTTCTCAGATAAGCAAAAGAAACAACACATAATGATGTGAATTCAGGGGAGTTTCATAGCATTTGCCTCAAAATTTAGTTTCTCACTATTCAGGAAACGTAGCTAACAAGCTACGTTTACATCATGTGATGTAAAATCTATAACAGCATCCTGAAAAACTGATTGGATTAAGATGTATAGAAAATGTATGGATTTTTCATGTGTTAGGTAAAAATATAAACAGTTGCTAACATTATCTCACTGCCCTCAGACTCCTCACTCTGTGTGCAGTGAGAGTTGTGGTACTGGATTCAGGAAGTCCACTCAGGAGGGAAAGGCTGCCTGTTGCTTTGATTGTACCCCTTGCTCAGAGAATGAAATTGCTAATGGGACAGGTAAGGTCATGACTGAAGGAGAAATTTGCCATCACTCCTAATATTCTCCAATCCATCCAAGTCAATGTGAAACTTGTGTACTAGGATTGTAGAGCTCAAGTTCCTTCCTTCAATTAGTAATTTAATTGTAACAATTGATGTTTCTCCCAGACATTATACAAATCATAGTCTTGAATTACATATGGAATTCATATTTTCTATACCATTGTAGGTATGGTTATCTCAAAGAAACTCGTTTTATCACTCCCAGTTAAGTTTGCTAAAATAAACAAAAGGCTTATGAAATAGTCTTTGTGTTCCTGCAATCTGTATTTGCTTAACAATAAAATTAGGGTCTACACATCATTAAACTACATTGTCCACATATTTCCTTTTGTCACAAAGCAAGTGCTCATAAACTTGTGTATGGTTTAAGATGGAGGCACAAATATTGTGCATAGCATAACTTAGAGCTCCAAAGAATGGTTTGATTCTCTTTTCCCCACTGCTTCACATTAAGGAATTAGGACAAATATAAAGAGATAAATTCAAGACAGTGCAACAGATCTTCTATTTATGTTTAACAGAGACATGTAGGAAATTGCAAGCTATATCTTCCACAATTTTGTGTGAAGTTTATGGCATTGTGCACATGTAGCAAGGAGAAATGGTGTAGAAAATTGATGTTAGGGTATTATGGCAATAATGACACATTATCAAATGTGATTGTCTCTGAAGGGAATGTTTCAATTAGCCTGAAAACACTGAATTTGGGAATGAGAGTAGTGTTTTTGTATAGAAATGAAACAAAAAGAACATTGAAATTTCTGGTAATATTTACATTTGTGGTAAAAATACTTATATGATAGAATTACATCTACTAGGGGATTTTCTAATTTCCTTTGAATAATGGACAATACTGAAAAAAAGCTAATGTTTGATCTTCTTACCAGATGTAGAACAGTGTGTGAAATGTCCTGATCATCAGTATGCCAACACAGAGAAAAATCAGTGCCTCTTAAGAGCTGCAAGTTTCCTGGCTTATGGAGATCCCTTGGGAATGGCTCTGGTCTGCATGGCTCTCTGCTTGTCTACACTCACTGCTGTTGTTCTTGGGGTTTTTGTGAAGAACCAAGACACTCCCATTGTCAAGGCTAACAACAGGGCTCTCAGCTACATCCTGCTCATCTCCCTCATCTTCTGTTTCCTCTGTTCCTTGCTCTTTATTGGTCGTCCCAATACTCTCAGTTGTATCTTGCAGCAGACCACATTTGGAGTTGTGTTCACTGTGGCTGTTTCCACAGTGTTGGCCAAAACTGTGACTGTGGTTCTGGCCTTCAAGACCACTTTTCTAGGGAGAAGGATGAGATGGCTGCTGGTATCAGGGGCTCCTAACTTCATCATCCCCATCTGCACCCTCATTCAGGTGATTCTCTGTGTGCTCTGGCTGGGAATCTCTCCTCCTTTCATTGACATTGATGCACACTCTGAACATGGCCACATCATCATCCTATGCAACAAGGGCTCCTTCATGGGCTTCTACTGTGTCCTTGGATACATGAGCTCATTAGCTCTGGCTAGCTTCACTGTAGCTTTTCTGGCCAGGAACCTGCCTGATACCTTCAATGAAGCCAAGTTCCTGACCTTCAGCATGCTGGTGTTCTGCAGTGTGTGGCTCACCTTCCTGCCTGTCTACCACAGTGCCAAGGGGAAGGTCATGGTGGCTGTGGAGGTCTTCTCCATCTTAGCCTCTGGTGCAGGGCTCCTAGGCTGCATTTTTGCCCCCAAGTGTTATATCATCTTGTTAAGGCCAGAAAGAAATTCTCTGCATGCCTTCAGGGACAATACACATATTATGAGCCACAAGCTGTCTTAAGATGGGTACATATTTGATAGAAGTTGTAAAATAAATCTACACTCATTTCCTAGTCTTATATCATTTTATAATAATTCCATGGATAAATGACTTTCTCATTTTTAGATTATTGATGTAGTTACATTTGTCACCATTGCTGTTTAAATTGTGTGTGTTTGTGTTTTTTATTTACTCTACACTCAATCCCATGATCTCCATTTTTTGTTTCATTTTCACTGTTATCCAGTCTAACTTTTCTTTGTTAGTCCCTTTCCTAAAGTTTTAAGTATCCTAATCTGATACCTGTACATCATTGTTGCTTAGTGATCCAACTCTTTTCATTAAATTTTCCTGTTAACAAAGTTCTTGGTGTTAGTACTTTCATTGGAGCATAATTTGTTCAATAATTATGCATTTCTAGTCAAACATCTGCCTTTAGGAATAGTTTTGTGTCTGTGATTTTGGATCTCTCTTTCCCCCTTTCCCTCTTCCTCTATCTCCTTTTTCCTTCTTCTGCCTCCTTCTCTGCTTTCCTTAGATATCTTGAGAATTCTAGAAATGCCTGGCATAGTGTATAAAAATGTACCTCAATTTTTTCCCACAATCTACTTAATATATGAACTAATAAGTCAGTAAAATTTGTAGATGTCTAAAAGTTTGTTGATGCATGGGAAGATATCCTTACCAATATACCCTTATTTAATGACTTGATCTGAATATGATATATATATATAAATCTGTATCAATTAAATGTATTGATGTCATATTATCTAAGTTTACAATCTGTTGATTACATGAAAATGTTTATCTTTCATATTTACACCTTTTAATTTAATAAGGAAAAGTATTATTCATTGTACCGCACAGACCAATTTTATGAGTTGTGTACTATGTTTACAGAATTATATGACAATTTAAAACTTATGATCACACAATGAAAGCCTTTGCCCTGTCTACTCTTGTTCATTGTACCTTTTTCTGATATTTATATAAATGATAGATTAGTGATTATGTAACTGAAGATGAATTTCTATTACTTTTATTTTTGTTGGAAATAACAACAAATAATGTGTTGGTGAAAAAATTGTTTAATTGTTCCTTTTTGAGGTCAGAATGTTTATTGAATATATCTAAGTTTCTCAATATGTTTCTGAAGATAAGATCAATGTAGATCTCACTTTTTTTGAAGTCATTGCTTTTTACACCTTTATTGTAATTCCATTGATATGGTTGAATTATTATTACTGAATAAAATACTGACTTCCTATTCTGTAGAACTGGTCACAGTATTGGTATACCCCAATATCTGTGACATCTCATTGAATGGTCATTCATTAATATGAACGATAAGAGTGTAATTGAGATCTTATCCAGTTGTGGGCTCTAAATGTAAGGGACAGATACTAGTGGCTGGGCATGGTCAAACTACTTAATGAATGTGTATGAACATGGAGTAATGAAAAATGCTGAAATTGTTTTAAGAAGTGGTAAAAGTAGATGGAAGCTGTGAATCTGATCAGGGCACATTTTATGAGTACTTGGAATGTCCAAATAACCACTCTGGCACAACTAATTCATGCTACTCAAAATGAAGAAATATTAGTAATGAAAGCCTATATAATCAAATATTCAAAATGATATGAGATTAGTGGTGACCTGATTAGGATTGTGATTCTCTTGCAAGCACTGCACTGTCTTTTAGAGTCATATTAGTTTTAGATCAGGATGAAGAAAAAGCAGTTCTTTCAAGTGTCACATTCCTCATCTTTACATTTCCCGTACTAATAATAGGTTGCATTAGTGTGGCACATAGCACAATGTATGATCCAACATCATTATGCTGTTTAGTCCTTGACTTAATCTTTAGATTTGTATTTTCTGTTGCACACTGCATGATTATGGTCATGTGTGCCATTGCAGGTACTTTGGGAACCTTTTTTTAAAAATTATTGTGAAAATACCATACAGAGAGTTACAATTACATGGGCAAGATAATGAGTACATTTCTTATCAAGTATTGTTGCCTCCTCCTTTGTTTCCCCTTCTTATCCATTCCCAGCCCCTCTGACACCCCCAATTCCTCCCCCCTCCCCGCCAAAGTTGTAAAGTTCATTTTTCGACATAATGACTTGTACATCTCATTGTTGCAATGGGTCCACCTGTATCCTTATTTAAACAATTTGTTTTTTCCCTTCCCCTCCACAAATTATACCAACATCGAATACAGTGAAAACAAGGGTTATACCGTGGGGGGAGGCACATACAAAGCAACAAAGAAATCATCTTATAAATATGTTAGAAACAGTCGCATGGAAGAAAAAACATTTGAATATGTGCTTATCTTGGGGTTTGTTTCACCTAACATCAACTTAGCCGAACTTTTCTGCTTGTCTCAGACATATACTAGTTATTGCAAATAAGGGAAACTTGGGGAACCTTATGGTGAGAGCAGAGGGTATGACTCAAGAGCAGAGCACTTTCTTAACATGCCCATGGCTTTACATTCCACCTCCAGCATCATTATGAAAAACTTGCAATGAATTTGGGTACCTACTAATACAATGAGTTTTCAAACAGTTTGTTAGTGCATGAGTCCGTATAAACATATAAATAATTTTGAATGCTACTGATTGCTTAACTGAATTTTTATATCTGGAAATATATTCTTGGGTACTCTATTTCTTACTTGAGAATTTGTTCTATTTGATAAATTCTGCTTTGTTTTTACTGATTTCATAGAGAAAGAACATTGCTATATGCTAAACTACCTCATCCTTCTTCCTATCACAATTTTTTATGTTTTATTTTCTATTCTCCAATAGACGGTAGAATTATGACCTTTAATAAAAATTTTTAGAAAAGTGATTGAGAAAACAAAGATGAGATAAGAATAAAAAACTAAAGAGTGGGAATGTTAAGATGAAGTGCAGATTATGTAGGAAGAACTAAATCTAAAGCTAAAAAAATAAAATTTATCCACCTATGGCTACAAGTTGGGACTGTATCACTATTAGAGAAAAGATTAAGAGTGATATAATCGTTGAAGTAATTCTAACAAGATAAAATAATACAAAACTAGGAAAGGACTAGGGATTTACCTTTTATCACATGACCAATATATGTGCTCATCTTAAGGTTTATTTCTCCTTGTGTGTCGGTTTTATCACTGAAACCACTCAGAGAATGTCTATTGGTCTTATCAAGATGATGTAGCACTTAGGAATAAAAACGCAGGCCAGGAGCCTCTCACTGAAGGCCAACATAGAGAAGACTTCCACAGATACCATGACCTTCCTCTTATGCTATGATAGGCATGAAGGTGATCTAGAGACTATAGAACACCATCATGCTGAAAGTCAGGAAGGTTTCAGGCAGGTTTCTGGTCAGAAAAGCCACAGTGAAGCTGGCCAGGTCTAGGGAACCCAGATATCCCAAGACACAGTAGAAGGTAGTGGGGGAGCCCTTGTTGCACAAGATCATAATGTGGCTATGTTCAGATTGTGTATCTGTGTCCACAAAGGATTGAGAGTTGTCCAGAGACCACAGAACATCACATGGATCAGAGTGCAGACAAAATGATGAAGTTAGGAACCTCTGATACTAGCAACCACCTCATTCTTCTCCCTAGAGAAGTGGTCTGAAGGCCAGAACCACAATCACAGTTTTGGCCAATACTGTGGAAAAGCTATGGCAAACACAATTCCAAATATGACCTGCTGCAGAATGCAGGTGATTGTATTGGGATGCCCAATAGGGAGCAAGGAACAGAAGAAACAGAAGGTGAGAGAAATGAGCAGGTTGTAGCTAAGAGCTTGGTTATTGGCCTTGACAATGGGAGTGTCTTGGTGTTTCACAAACACCCCAAGAACAAGTGCAGTGAGAGTGGAGAAGCAGAGAGCCATGCAGTCCAACGCCATCTCCAAGGGTTCTTCATGAGCCAGGAAACTTACAGCTTTTGGGAAGCACTGGTTTCTTTCTGTGTTGGGGTACTGATGATCTGGACATTTCACACACTGCTCCATATCTGGTAAGAAGTATGGACTAACATTAGTATCTTTCCAATACTGCCTTTCTTCAATGAACATTTGAAAATGCCCACTTAGAGATAAAACTAATTTGTGAAATTTATAAACATAAATGCATTACCAAGTAGTAGTAAAAATGTTCAGAATTAATTTTTTTGGGGAGGGGTCCGGTTGTGAGGCCAAAACTCTGGGCCTGGGCACTGTCCCTCAGCTCTTCAGCTCAAGGCTAATGCTCTACCACTTGAGCCACAGCCACCACTTCTGGCTTTTTTCTTTTTGCTTATGTGGTGCTGAGGAATTGAAACCAGGGCCTCATGCATGCAAGGCAAGCGCTCTATCACTGAGCCACCTTCCCAGCCCCAGAATGGATTTTTATGTCTTCCTTCCCCCAGAATTTGACATTCTCTTTTGTCTAGTCTAATTGGAACATCTTAACTTCAATGACTATTACACATATTTGAAATGGGTCATTTTCACATTTTTAATATCCTAAGAGCACCTTTCTGCACTTATTCATGCTGCTATTAGTTGTTAGCGAGGTGTACACAACTCTCCAATCTCTGTTCAAAATTGTGGATAATATAGCTTACATTTCCCTCTATGTCTGTGTGAAATGTTAGAGGAAGCCTTGTGGCCCAGCCTTGAATCCATCTCATATTTGTCTAGGGAAGCGAAGAGGAACAACAAAATGGTGAGACAAAAGACAAAAGGGGAACTTATGCAACAACGATACCTATAATATGTTGGAAATAATCTGTACAACCCAGGGATGGGATTGGGAGGGAGGGAAAGAGGGAGAAAATGAAGGAAGGGGTAACAAGTTAGACCAGAAATTAAACCACTACCTTATTTACGTAACTGTAACTGTATACATCATCTAGAGGTTTCTCCAAAAACTAAACATAGATCTTCCCTACAAGCCAGCCATACCACTCCTAGGTCCTGAGCAACAGGAATCAGGATACAAGGACACTTGCACCTCCATGTTTAATGCCACAATATTAACAATAGCCAAGGTATGGAAACAGCCCAGATGCCCCACGGTAGATGAGTGAATCCAAAAAATGTAGTACCTATATACACTGCAATTTTACTCAGCCATTTAGAAAGGAAAAAATTCTGTCATTTACAAGGAAATGGTTTTTTTTTTTGCCAAAGCACTATTATATTTCCAATTTAAAACAAAAGTGATAGAAGTCCATTATCAGTGTTTAATCACTCATCTATTAGAAATAAAATCTCAAAAAATTATATTAAGTGAAGTAAGCCAGACCTAAAGAAATATAGGTCCCATGGTTTCCCTTATTTGCAATAACTAGTACAAGTCTAGGACAAGCAGAAAAGGCCAAAAGCTATGTACATCTGATCATATACGATTATGTTAAGTGAAATGAACCTCAAGATAGGGACACAAGTGGTTTTTTTCTTTCTTGCTATTGTTTTTAACATATTTATAATGGATTATGTGATTTTTTTTGTTTCTCTTGTATATTCTTCCCGCACAGTATAACCCCTGTTTTCACTGTATTTGATGTTGGTGTCCTACATCTTGTATATACATTTTTCTAATTTGGGGAGGGGACAAGAAATAACAAAAAGCTGAATTGTAACAGTGGGATGTACAAGACACTATGTTTTTACAACTTGGGGTGGGGAGGGAGGAGTTCGGGAGGTAGGGAGGGAAGAGATAGTAGGGAGAAAACAAAAGAGGAGGTAACAATGATCAATAGGAAAATGTACTCATTACCTTACTCATGTAACTGTAACTCTTCTGTATAGGTTTTTTACAATAAAAGACATAAAAAATACAAATCTCAGAAGAAAGATGCAATGAACAATAGAAGAGAGCAGGAAGGTCTGCCATTATGCAACCACGTCTTAAATAGCCGTGTGTTTCTTTAAAAAAAATGTAGAATCCAGTAATTCAGTGTATTTAAAATAATGAATAATATATTTCTTATATGATTAAAATATTGGAAATGTAACATTTTCATATAATACCAGATGTTACATCAATTAATATAAAATTATATATATAACATAGAAATTTGTATGCATATTTTTAAAGTGATTAAACAAGATTAAGTTGTAAAGTTTATCCAGCCATAGATGATCAAACTATTATACCTATACCTTCTTCAACTATTACTCCATAAATCCAATACATTGTGATGTACAACTGAAGTATATTTTTTTAGCATATGCAACCCATTCTTGAAATTCTAAAACCATATAGAGAAAGCAGAGAGGGAGGAGGAGGAGGAAGAAGAAAGAAGATGAAAGGAAAGCAAAGATGTAAGGGAAAGGGAAAGCATGGAGGGATATTGGCCTAATGAAACAGATTGAGTAATATTGCAAAAGATAGATTGTGAAAAGAAATATACTACTATTAAAACACTAATGAGTATATGAAAACATGAAACTTTATTAAGAGGCAAATATTAATGAAATGTATTTGGTGATTAAGCAGCATAATGATGAGCAGGCTGGAGGTTAATGTACTTTAAAATATAGAAAAATACCCATAATCTGAATTAGTCAGGAAGTAGAGATCTAGGGATCACAGTTTAAAGGGGGAGGAAAGTCTATGAAAATCTTATCTCCAACTAACTACCAAAGAGCCAAAACTGGAGCTGTGGTTCAAGTGGTAATGTGCTAGCCTTGAGCAAAATACCTCATATATAGAACCCAGGCTTTAGATTAAAAAATTATGACTCTCACCAAAAAAAATACCCCAAAATATTTTAAACAATAAATAAGAAAGCAAAATTAGAATGCCGATGACCACTGCGACCAGAGACAAGACAATAGGGGGGAACAGGCAGGAGAATTCATACTTTGGGGGACTAGAGAACAGAAAAGTTCACTTGGCTTCAGATTCCCCTTTCCTTATTAACAAGTGTTTTTACTGAGTTCGGTACAGAGGGAATAGTGACTACAGATAAGTGCAGAGACTAGGAAATCAGTCTGTCTTGTGGTTATAACCATTAATATGAGGTATAATATTTGTTTTAAGACCCCCCAAGTTCTGAGTGTTCTACTCATTCCCAAAGGACAGACAAGCCAACAAAGATAAATATACAGCTTCTTTCTGTCAGAAGTCCTCTTGGGTTCATCTTAACATCTAGAGCTGTCCCCATTCCCCTCACTGTCCACATCCACAGATCTCATTTTTTCCCTGGAATTCTTGGAAAGCTATCGAGTGTTTTGGAACTCAGGATGCAAATGACAAGATAGAGCACTCGGAACTTGGAGGCCTTAAAACATTGGGGCCTAAAAGCAAGTCTTTTAAAGCCCCAAATAATGAGTGTTCTACTCATTCCTAAAAGGGCAGATAAGCCAACAAAGATAAATGTACAGCTTCTTTCTATCAGAAGCAGCTCCTGTGTTCATCCTAGCATCTAGGGCTGTCCCCTCTCTTCTTGCTGTCCACATCCACAGATCTGGTCCCCCTCCCCCCTTCATGAATCCTTGGAAAGCTAACAAGTGTTCTGGAGCTCAGGATGCAAATGACAAGATAGAGCACTCAGTTGTTTTAAGGCCCCCAAGTTGTGAGTACTCTACACATTCCCAATTGAGTCTCTTATCATTAGGGATCAGAAGGGAACCATGAAATATTCCATCTGTAAAAGAGACCTCCATCCTACCTCCAAGGACTTAAGCTCTTAGTGTCCAAACAACTTTAATTTAAACACACAGGATAGTATCTTTGACCTCTGTCAGCCTTAATCTCTTGACCTTACTTGAGCTCAGCCCTCAGCATTCCAAGGGCACTTTGAGCTGGCATTCCAAGCTCTTTAATGCTTTCAGGTCTCATGGCCTGGTATCAAAGGCCCTCAAAGAGAAAACAGGTCAACAGTGAAAATATACTAGCAGAGATGGTTGGATTATGTATAGAGAAAATAGGAAGAACCAGACATGTACAGAATAAAATTCAAATTTACCTGGCTTTGGCTACAACTTGTGACTGTACCATTACAAGAGAAATGAGTAAGAGTCACTTAGTCATTGAAGTGATTCCCTCGATGTAAGTTAGTATCTAACAGGAAAAAGGAATTTAGATTTAGTCTAAACTTTCTCCTGAACAGTTGCTCAAACATGTAAGTTTCATCTTAAGAGGGTTTTTTTTTCTCGAAGTATTTGTTTTGTCCCAGAAGCCATGCAGAAAAATTATCTCTAGAGTTAACAAAATGATGTAGCACTTGGGAGCAAAGATCCCAAGAGCCCCTCATTGGAGGCCAAGATGGAGAAGGCCTACACAGCCACCATTACCTTCCCCTTGGCACTGTGATAGACATGTACAAAAGTAAGCCAGATACTACAGAACACCAGAATGCTGAAGGTTAGGAACTTGGCTTCCTTGAAGGAGTTAGAGAGGTCCTTGGCCAGAAAAGCCACAGTGAAGCTGGCCAGGCGAAGAAAATCAGGTATTAGGACTGGGAAGGTGGTTCAGTGGTAGAGTGCTTGTCATGCATCTATGAGGCCCTGGGATTGATTCCTCAGCCCCACATAAGCAGAAAAAGCTGGAAGTGGCACAGTGGGACAGTGCCCAGGCCCAGAATTTAGGCCTCATGACTGACCCCCCCCCCACAAAATACCTCCAAAAACAAAAAACAAACAAAAAAACAGTTATCCCAAGACACAGTAGAAGGCAGTGAGGGAGCCCTTGTTACACAGAATGATGACATGGCCACGTTCAGAGTATGCATCTGTGTCAATAAGGGGAAGAAAAAGTCCCCAGTCAGAGTCCACAGAGGGTCATCTGGATGAGGGGACACATGGGAATACACCCCCAGCCCTCCAATACATATTTTTGTACATGATTGTATATACAAATTGTGCATTATGTGTTTTTGGATGGTTTAAGAAATTTTCAAGAGTAATTTTGATTGCTTATAATCAAACATTTTACTGCTGCCCTTAATGAAAAAGATTGCCTCAAAAAGTGACATTCAGATCCATTCATCTATGTACAATGGAATTCTATGCCTTCATCAGAAAGAATGGCATTGCCCCATTTATTAGGAAATGGAAAGACTTGGAAAAAATGATATTAAGTGAAGTAATGTAGGCCCAAAGAAACATAGGTCCCATGGTTTCCCTTATCTGCAATAATTAGTGTATGTCTAGGACAAGCAGAAAAGGTAAAAAACAAAACAAAAAAAACTATGTACATGTGACCATCACTTCGGCAGCACATATACCAAAATTGGAATGATACAGAGAAGATTAGCATGGCCCCTGTGCTAGGATGACACACAAATTCGTGAAGTGTTCTTTTTTTATGGGAAAGGATGAGAAGGGGAAACAAAGGAGGAAGCTACAATGCTTGATAAGAAATGTACTCATTATCTGGCCCATGTAATTGTAACCCCTCTGTACAGTATTTTCACAATAAAAAAATATTAAAAACAATAAAAAAGATGTTAAGCGAAATGAACGCCAAAATAGGGACACAAGTGGTTTTTTTCTTTCTTGCTATTGTTTTTTAACAATTATAATGTACTATGTGATACTTTTGTTTCTTTTGTATGTTCTTCCCCCATGGTATAGCCCCTATTTTTAATGTATTCGATGTTGGTGCTCTGCACCTTGCATGTTTTGCCCCCATGGTACAGCACCTGTATTCACTGTATTTGATTCTGGTGCCCTCCATCTTGTATATACACTTTTCTAATTTGGGGAGGGAAGGGAAAAACAAAATGCTTAAATAGGGATACAGTTTGACCCATTGTAACAATGAGTTGTTCAAGACACCATGTTGAAAATGAACTTTACAACTTATGGGGAGGAGGGAGAAGTTGGGGAGGTGGGGTGGGAAGGGACAGTAGGGGAAAAACAAAAGAGGAGGTAACAATGCTCGAAAGGAAATATACTCATTACCTTATTCATGTAACTGCAACCCCTCTGTACACTATTTTTAAAATAAAAAACGTATTTAAAAAATAAAAGTGACATTCAGATATTTCTCATCAATATATTATAATATTTCCTACAAAAAGAAAAGTAATATAAACTTATAGCTCTACAAACAATAATCATATTAGCAAAATGCAAATGCAGAAGAAAGAGATGATAAACAATGGAAGAGAGCAGGAAGGACTGACATGATGTGACATATTAATTTATTATGTCATTATTTATGAATGCATAATTTATAATATGATCAACATTATGAGCAACCTCTTCAGATTATTAATATATCCTAAAACATCTATTGGTAATATGACAGCAAAAATATAATAAATGAGTATTTAATATATATATATTTACAGTATCATAATATACAGTAACTAAGTAAGGATAAATTTACTAATTTATCCAACATAGTTGAGTCAACTGGTCCTATTTTGCCTCAACAACTTTCATCGAATAATAGTTCATAAACTCAATATATTGTGAGACAAGGTTAAAATGTATTTGTGTAACATTTAAGCAGCCTTTCAAAAGGCAAATATGTGAAAGGTAATACATAACTAACTGAATTCAGTATACTCTAATGAGCATATTACAAGATGGAACTATGTTAAAATGAAAATATTTGTGGAAATAGCTAATAAATATGATATAAAGAAGATATGTTTTGTTGTAATAGTTTGAAGGTAACTGAGAAATCAAGGGTAAGTCAGGGGCTGGGAAAGTGGCTCAGTGGTAGAGTGCTTGCCTTGCATGCGTGAGGCCTGGATTTGATTCCTCAGCACCACATAAGCAGAAAAAGCCAGAAGTGTTGATGTGGCTCAAGTGATAGAGCACTAGCATTGAGCTGAAGAGCTGAGGGACAGCACCCAGGCCCAAGACTGGAAAAAAAGAAAGAAAACAGGGGTAATATACTAATTGGGAATGGTAGTGTTAATTCATATTTGATTGGAGGAATGAGAGAGAGAGAGAAAGAGAGAGAGAAGAGAGGAGAGCAAGAGAGAGTGAGAGAGCGAGAGTGAGTGTGAGAGAGAGAGAATCAAATTACATTGAGGTACTAATGGTTACAAGTTGACAAATGACTAAGGGCTATTTACACGTTGCAGTAAGTCCCATAGTATGAACTAATAGCTTACAGCAAAAACGGTGTCAATTTAATTCAGAACTTCTATATATTGATCAAACACATAGGATTAATCTTAAATCTTACTTTTCCATGTATTTGTTTATCCCTGAAGCCACGCAGAGAGTTTCTATCTGACTTTAACAAGATAATGTAGCACTTGGGAGCAAAAATGCAGCCCAGGAGCCCTGCACTGGAAGACAAGATGGAGAAGACCTCCACAGCCACCATGACCTTCCCCTTGGCACTGTGGTAGACAGGCAGGAAGGTGAGCCACACACTGCAGAACACCAGCATGCTGAAGGTCAGGAACTTGGCTTCATTGAAGGTGTCAGGCAGGTTCCTGACCAGAAAAGCCACAGTAAAGCTGGCCAGGGCCAGGGCGCCCAGGTATCCCAGGACACAGTAGAAGGCAGTGAGGGAGCCCATGTTGCACAGGATGATAATGTGGCCATGCTCAGAGTGTGCATCTGTGTCCACAAAGGGAGGAGAGATTCGCAGCCAGAGGCCATAGAGGGTCACCTGGATGAGGGTGCAGATGGGGATGATGAAGTTAGGAGCCCCTGATACCAGCAGCCATCTCATTCTTCTCCCTGGAGAAGTGGCCTTGAAGGCCAGTACCACAGTCACTGTTTTGGCCAAGACAGTAGAAATGGCCACAGTGAACACAACTCCAAATGTGACCTGCTGCAGGATGCAGGTGACTGTGGCAGGACGACCAATAAAAAGCAAGGAACAGAGGAAACAAAAGATGAGGGAGGTGAGCAGAATGTAGCTGAGAGCCCGGTTATTGGCCTTGACAATGGGAGTGTCTTGGTATTTCACAAAAACCCCTAGTACCGCAGCAGTGAGTGTGGAGAAGCAGAGAGCCATAGAGGCCAAGACCATGCCCAAGGGTTCTCCATGGGCCAGGAAACTTTCAGCCCTCAAGAGGCACTGGTTTCTCTCTGAGTTGGCATACAGATGATCTGGACACTTCACACACTGCTCCATATCTGGCGAGGAAGATAAATAACCATTAGTTCCCATTTAAATAATGCACTTTCTTTAATGGAAATTAAACTCCCTGCTTAGAGATGAAACTAACATGTCAGAAAAAAAAATACCAGCAAAATATCAAACAAAGGACTAATATCCATTATATACAAGGAACTCAAGAAAGTAATTCTTCCCAATCCTAACAAAACAATTACTAAATGGGGAAGGGAACTAAAGAGGTACTTCTCAGAAGAAGAGATAAAAATGGCAAACACATGAGGAAATGTTCATCACTACTGGCTGTAAAAGAAATGCAAATAAAAATAACTCTGAGATACCACCTTAACCCAGTCAGAATGGCCCACAAACTAAATTCAGGCAACAACAAATGCTGGAGGGGATATGGAGAAAGAGGAACCTTATTGCACTGCTTGTGGGAATGTACCCTAATACAACCTGTTTGAAAAGCAGTCTGGAGATACCCAGAAAGCTGAATATAGACCTCCTGTATGACCCAGCTATACCACTCCTAAGCATCTACCCTGAGAAACAGGAACCAGGATACAAAGACACCTGCACCTCCATGTTGCAGCACTATTCACAATAACTGAGAAATGGAAACAACCCAGATGCCCCACTATAGGTGAATGGATCCAAAAACTGTGATACCTATATACAATGGAATATTATGCAGCCATTAGAAATGACAAAATAAGGGCATTCACAGGGAAATGGATGGAACTAGAACAAATCATTTTGAGCGAGGTAAGCCAAGAGTAGAGAGACAAATGGCACATGATATCCCTTATATGTAGATGTTACATATAGAATGTAAGGAGATATGACAAAGGATTTGAGGGCTGGGAAGGTAACTCAGTGGTAGAGTGTTTGCCTTGCATGCATGAGGCCCTGGGTTTGATTCCTCAGCATCAGATAAGGAGAAAAAGCCGGAAGTGGCACTGTGGCTCAAGTGGTAGAGCTCTAGCCTTGAGCTGAAGAGCTCAGGGACAGAGCCCAGGCCCAGAGGTAAGGCCCCACAACTGATAAAACAAAAACAAAAACAAAACAGGACTTGAGAAACAAAGGACCTCCACTCATCTTGTCATATCATTACTAAATGACCCCATGCTGTTGATATATATATGCTACATCTAAGGGAAACAAGGAGGAGGACACAGAATCACAGGGAGACAGGGGAAAACATACAACAGAGGGGTTCCATCAACTGCACTGGACATTGATGAAAACAAACTAAGCAACTCAAGGGCAGCAATGGAAGGGAAGGAATGAGAGGGTTAGAGGGAACAGCCAACACTAAGCTAAAGGAAAGAAGTGTACATACCACCCGATGTGGAAGAAATAGCTCATAGAATTCACAAACTTTATAGACCACAATAATGACAATTTGGCTCATGAAGGTGAAAATGTATTTGTGACTTTAAGTATCACTATTTCACAATACTGTAAAATGTGTGAAATTTATGTAATCATTTAATCACAATAAAAATTATTTTAAAAAACTAACAGGTCAGTATTTGTGATCATAAATGTATTACCAAGTAGTATAAGAATTTTTTTCTCTTCTCTAAACCATAATTTCAACCTCACTCCCACACTGGTCTTTTAGATATATATATTTTATTGTAAATATATTGTACAGAGGGGTTACAATTACATGAGTAAGATAATGAGTACATTTCCCATAGAGCATTATTACCCCCACCTTTGCTTTTCCCCTACCATCCCTTCTTTCTCCACCTCCCTAACTCCTCCCTTCCCTCCAAGTTGTAAAGTTCATTTTCAACATACTGTCTTGTACATCTCATTGTTACAATGGGTCAACCTGTATCCTTGTTTCAGCATTTTGTTGTTTCCCTTCCCCTCCTCAAATTAGAAAAATGAATATACAAGAATCAGGGTACTGGAAACAAATACAGTGAAAACAGGGTTATACCATGGGGGATGAACATAAAAAAGAAACAAAAAAATCACAGAGTAAAATTTAAATACATTAAAAACAACAGCAACAAAAAAAAAGCTCTTCTGTCCCTATCTTGGGGTTTGTTTCACTTAGCTTCATCTTATAAGATCATATGTGCATAGCTTTTGACCTTTTCTGCTTGTCTGGTAAGATTACCTTAGATGTGTACTAGTTATGGTAAATATGGTGCCATGGTACCTATAGTTCTGAGTCTGGCTTACTTCACTTAATATGATTTTTTTCCAAGTCTTTCCATTTCCTAACATTTCCATTTCCATTTCCTCCTGATGGAGGTATAGGATTCCAGTGTGTGTGTGTATGTGTGTGTGTGTGTGTGTGTGAGTGTGTGTGTGTTTGTGTGTGTGTGTGTGTGTGTGTGTGTGTGTGTGTGATCTATCACATTTTTTGATCCATTCATCTACTGAGGGCATCTAGGTTGGTTCTGTATCTTAGCTATGGTGAATAATGCTGCAATAAACATAGTTATGCTGGTAGCTCTAGTATGGCCTTGTTTGTGATTATTTGGGTAAATGCCCAAAAGTGGGATTGCTGGATTATAGGGGAGCTCTATGTGGAGTCTTCTGAGGAACCTCCATACTGCTTTCCAAAGTGGTTGAACAAGGTTACACTCCCACCAACAATGCAGTAGGGTTTCCTCTGGCCACATCCCCTTCAGCATCTGTTGTTATTAGAGTTCTTGATTATAGCCATTCTAACTGGGGTGAGTTGGAATCTCAATGTTGTTTGGATTTGCATTTCTTTTTATTAAATATATATTTGTATTGTAAGGATACTATACAGAGGGCTGACAATTACGTGAGTAAGATAATGAGTACATTTCCTATCAAGCATTGCTTCCCCTTCTGATTTGTATTTCTTTTATGCTTTTTTAAAAATCAGATTCAACCTTAACCTTCATTGGCTATCAAACATATTGATAATATGCTATTTTGTCAATTTTAATATCCTAAAAATGATTTTCTACACTATTTTATGCTGCTATAATATTAATTCTTATCACTCTGCACAACTTCCTAAGTCCATTTAAAATTGTGGATAATATGGCTAACATATATGTATATATGAAATGTTAATAAAGCCCTGTGGCATGTCCTTGAATTCATGACATTGTATTTGTCTTTACTCTTCACCTGTGAAGCAGTGGGGAACAGAGAATCAAACCAATCTTTGAAGCTCTAATATCATCCTATGCACAACAGTTGTTTGTTTCTTAAATCAAACCAAGCTTCTAAGCACTTGCTCTGTGGCAAGAGCACTGTGTATAAGATCCATGTTTTCCTTGTTTTGTAATGGCAATCTTGAAAAACATGGAGAGCCTGTCCTTAATATGACTTTATATTAATATTAGAAGTTAAACTTACATTAAAGAGTATCAAGTATTTCTTGAAATAGCCATACATACATTGGGCTAGAGAAAAAATAATGCTAGATGTAATTCAAATGGATGATTTGTGTAAATTCAAGGAACAATACAATCAACTTAGTAACTGAAGGAAGGGAAGCTTTGGCTTCTTGATTTCTATTGAATTAATCAGAGAACAGTAGGAAGAATTTTTACTTAGTCATGGACTTACCTGTCCCATTAGAAATCTCATCCTGTAGGCAAGGGATACAATCAAAGCAACAGGCAGCCTTTTCCTCCTGAGGGGATTTCCTGAATCCAGGACCACAACTTTCACTGCAAATTGAGTGAGGAGTCTGAGGAAAATCAGATACGTGTTGATAAGTGTTTAGACTTTTACATACCACACTAAACAGTTAAGTGTTCTTAACAACTGGACCATTAAACATAATTTCTATATGATTAAAGCTAATCTTGATCTGTAGCCCAATGTACTATTGGGAAGTACTGAACCTTTAAGAGGTAAAACCTAATCCTAAAATAGTCATTGATGGCAAACCTTAAGGAACTTCTTTAATTTGTGTGTGTATGAGTGTGCATGCATGTGTGTGTGTGTGTGTGTGTGTGCTGATTCTGGAGCTGGAACTCTGGGCACTTTCCCTGAGCTATTTTTCTCAGAAAAATTGGGGCCACACCTCAATTTCCAGCTTTTTGTGGCTAATTGGAGACAAGAGTCTCACAGATTTTCCAGCCCAGGCTGACTTTCAATCTCAATGCTCAGATCTCAGCCTCCTGAGCAGCTAGGATTACAGGTATGAGTCACAGGAGCCTGGCAAATTCATTATTGTTTGTCTCCTACTGATTTCTTAAACATGATAACAAGACATCCCCTATATTGGATCATGTGAACTCCAGGCTCATCATCTCTTCCTCTCTGATGACCAGTTGTAAGGAAGTGAAAATCTTCTTCTGGTACAGTCTTGTTAGATAATTCCTGTCACCCTTGATGCATAAATTACAGGTCAAGTTAGTCTGGACAGAAGTAACCTCAGTGGGAGCAAAATGAACCTTGCTACTTTATAAATTGATTCCTCAGGTGTTTTGTCACCACATTAGAAAATTGTTATAACATGTCATTTAGGTTTCTCTGATAATAAATAAACTAACATTTACACTTATAGAATTAGTATGTTCCTTTTTCATCAAAGAATCAGCAAATAAGTAAGTTATTCAAGCTGAAAGTTATTAAATTTACAATGTTGTATAACTAATAAGACCAGGTGGACATGAAATCTAGGGATTATTTTCTTTTATTTAGTTCTAGTCATTGTGGTCAGGTCTTACTCACCTCAGTAGTTCCTATGGTCCACTCTATCATATCTTCAGCTATTGACAGTTGATGACCATGTGGAGCATATGGAGAAAATAGTCCTACTTTCACCTTAACTTCAAGACCTTCTGGAAAATTCCAAATGTTCACAATGTCATACTCTGCTTCTATTTTTTCTTTCTCACCCAAAATCACTTTGTCTCCAGCAGAATTATAAAATTGAATCTTCTTCAGAAAAGGGTGCAGCTAAAAGAGATACATCTTATGGTGAAGTGAATCCAAGAGTGAAGAGAGAAAGCCTAAATTCTGCAATGCCCCTCATTGTCTTTAGTATCCGCTTTATCCTTCTAGATTAAGACATACACCACATGCAGTAGAACAAAACAAAGGTCTATAGAGGACTGAAATAATGTTTCTGAATGCTACTCACTCAAGGAAAGGATCACAAGGCCTCTTTTCAAGATAAACCACCTCCACATAAATAGTCGTGAATGAGACAGGTCTGAGTTTCATAGTTAAAGGTTCAGAACTGCTCATTTGTGAATACCCAGGGAGTAGCAATTAGCTAAATTAATAGTATCTAAAGTGGAATTCAACAAGCTCATTTACTTTTCAAATATATATTTGTTTATTAATATTTTACACTTGGAAGTGGTACATTGATTTTTAAATTTTTTATTATTATCTTTAAGTATTACAAAAAAGGGTTTCAATTCAATGAGTCAGTTTATGAATACATCTTAATCAGTGTCACCTATTACATTATTCTCCCCCATCTTTCCTGCTCCACTTATCCCTCCAGCTACTTTCTGAAAGCATCATCATTTAAGTACTTAATTACATAAATAGTTGATAATCCTTTGGTATTTAAGAAACTCATAGGAAAAGCTAGATTTACAAGTCTGAAAACATTAGCCGTGAGTTTACTGAGGTCATTTGTAACACAAAAATCCTATTGGAAACATGAAATGCATTTCCTCCCTTCAGGTGTGAAGAAACTTCAGAAACATTTAAACAAAGTTTCTCTTGGGATTTGTAAAAGCTTGAACATATTTAGATTCACTTAATTTTTGGTGTGTCAGATCTAACAAATAAGACCTTACCTGTGCAGGGGAAGGCACCATCCCTTTCCCATTTCCCACCAGTGGCATCTTTGTTTGATGAAGAAGCATCTTGTGAAGTGAATGGACCACAGCATACACAGAGTTGTATATATTGTAACTCTCTTCAAACATGGCCATGTCAAAAATGTGTCCAGGCAACCACTCCAAGGAGGCATCCTGGGGACAGTTCTCCCATGTTATACAGTCAGACTCAGAATGGGAGCAATTAAAAGAGAGAACCCACAGCCTAGCAAGGTAAAAGTCTTCTGGGTATTTGGAAGGATTGACTTCCCTGACATAATTCTTAAACCCAGAAATGTCTGAATGGTGGTGTGAAAACATGAGAGGAACATGGAATGAGCCTAAGATGAAATATCTTCTACTGATGGATAAATCACTCTGTGAAGTCATAAGCCAAACTTTGCCTGACATTAAAATCTTCCCAAAATAAGTCATTAATTCTAGTAGGTATTCATTATCACCATAAATGATAAACACATTTGCTGATGATTTACTAATCTTGCGATGGATTGTCATTATGTTTAATACTTGTGTCAGGATAGTCCTTGGAATCACATGCTCAAAGGCTACACAGACTCTGTTCTTGGCCATCTCTTCCCTCAATTCTGGAATTATCCATAAACCACTTTCATCTAGTGAGATCAACAGCCCCACCCAGTTCCAGCTGAAATGAAGCATCAAAGAGACCATGGCAATGGCTAGTGATGTGTCCTTTGGGGCCATCTGATAGAGAGAAGGAAACTTGCTTTTGTCACTCAAGACAGGATCTAAAGGTCCATAGGTAAGCTAAAAGGAAAGAAAATTAAAGAGTCTATAAAAGGATTGCCAACCTTTACAATCTCAGTCTTGACTTATAGTAAGAAAGGATTAAATGATTGAAAGGAAGGAAATCTTTTATAGTTTTAGAAAACAAATTTTAAATTGTTTTAAAATAGCTATACAAAGATCTTTCATCTGTGCATGTCAGTTTGTGTGTAATGCTTGTTGATCAGTGTCACTGTTTCTATTCTCCTCCCCCATCTATACCAACCCCACTCATATATATATATATATATATATATATATATATATATATATATATATATATATATATATATATACTTGAATATTATAACTATATTTGCCATCACTCATCTCTTTATTCCTTTGTTCCCCACATCATTCCCTTTAAACTTACCTCTATTATTAGGTATAACATATTTCAACTTCCTCTGCTCATTTTTCAGAACAATTATACCATGGAAATCCACCATTTTGTACACCATTCTTCAGTCAGTTTTATCATGTATATTTGCTTATGGCCATGTATGCATTTTCATATTTCAGGTTTATATTTTAAACTTCCATATATGAGAGAAAACCTGCCCATTTTGTCTTAGCCTGACTAAATAACTTCAGTTTTGTTTTTTGCTTTTTTGTGTTGTGTATTTTTTGTAGGTCCTAGGACTTGAACTCTGGTGCCTGAGCTTTAGTGCTAAATGCTAGCACTCTACCACTTGGAGCCATAGCACTTCCAGCTTTCTTCAATCTATCTTCCTTTCTTTCTTTCTTTCTTTCTTTCTTTCTTTCTTTCTTTCTTCCTTCCTTCCTTCCTTCCTTCCTTCCTTCCTTCCTTCCTTCCTTCCTTCCTTCCTTTCTTTCTTTCTTTCTTTCTTTCTTTCTTTCTTTCTTTCTTTCTTTCTCCTTCCTTCCTTTCTTTCTTTTTTCTTTGTTTCTTTCTTTCTTTCTTGTCAGTCCTAAGGCCTGAACTGAGTGTCTGGGCACTGCCCCTGAGCTTTTTCACTCAAGGCTACCACTCTATCACTTTGAGCCAGATTGCCAAAGGTTTTCTGCTTATATGGAGATGAGTCTCACTGCCTGTGCTGGCTTCAAATTATGATTCTCAGATCTCAACCTCCTGAGTTGCTAGTATTACAAATGTGAGTCATGGATGCCTGACTCACCTACCTCCAGCTTTTTTGCTGGTTCTTTGGAGATAAATGCCTCATGTCTTTGCCTGCCAAAGCTGGCTTCAACCACTATCCTTATACCCCATCCACCTTGAGTTAGCTAGGAATACAAGCATAACCCACCAGCATCTGTCTAATTTCACATGTTTATTTTTTTAATTTCACATTTTTATTAGACATAATGCAAATTTTATTGGGGAACATGATTAAAGTGGGGGTGAGTGATATAGCTCAGTGGGCAGAGACTAATTTCATATTTTTAAAGTATTTCCCACTTCCTGGTTGCTTTCTACAAAATTATTCAATAGGCTCTCAGCCCCAGGTCATTCCCTCTTCTGCTCCAACTTCCCTATCCTCTCTTAAATAATGGAAACATGAATTCCCCACTGTTTGTGTATTTAGCCTTTGATATCATAAAATTAGATAGGTTTTTATATCTTATATCTTCCTATCATCATAAAAAAGCACCAAAGTAGACAATTTTCACATCTGCATCCCTCCCATCCTCACCTGTGGAAACTTATAGAGTTCTAGAAGTGTCCCAATCTGGGCAGATATTATTCCTGATATTCCTGTGAGTACTGCTACAGAGTTACTTTCTCTCATGCAGGTATAATTAGGGATATTGTATTGCCCAGAAAGCCAAGTAAAGGGATTCTCAAGTGTTGACCGAGCTCTGAAATCCACATTATAGATATCAAAACCCAGAGTCATATTAGGTAAAAGATCAGGGTTCTTGTTGATTTCCTCAACAGCAAAAGCCAAGGCCAGAACAAACTGGTAGTTCTTCATGATAAACCTGCAATGTAGACATCAGAAATTTATCAAGAGTTATTCAAAATATATCTTCAAGTGAATGCAATGATTCTGATGAATTAAGGTTTGTTTCTTTGCAAAATGAATATATTGAAATAGAACACTCTTCAGGATGCATTGGTAATGTAATGTCCACATGAATGTTCAGAGAGGGCGATTTCTCTCCCTTTCATATGCAATACACCAAAAAGTTTGGTTTCCATAAAGCATGAAATAATCTCTCATGAGACACAAACTATCATCTGCTTGATCTTGGGGAAACTAGCTCTATGGGTATGTAAACAAATCTTTGTTTTTCAACCACCCAGTTTATGTTACATAGTTACATGGCAAGTGATGGTCTCATTTGAGGAAGATCAAATCTTTGTTTTTCAACCACCCAGTTTATGTTACATAGTTACATGGCAAGTGATGGTCTCATTTGAGGAAGATCCTACAGTTCTCCCAGAGATCCACCACCTTCAACAGCTCTTTTTGCAGTAGCTACCAGAACAAAAAAATTCAAATATCAAGGGATAGATCTTAGGTCTGATTTATATAGCAGAGCAAGTAAGATGCTTTAAAGATGCAACAGAAAGTAATTTCCCATGTTAACTCACTTGACTAAATTTCAAGAAACTATTCATGAAGAAAGGAGCCTCCAACCTGGGAGATGGGGAGAGAATTGTCATGAAATGAAGCCTTATGCTGAAATCCCTGTTCCAAATCTCCCATGGTGATCTCCCATGGTGAACTGCAGGTCTGGGAAATGCATTACTTGCTTGGCAAATATGTACATTGAGATACTGAAAAGGAAATGATACAGGGAGTAAAGAGGCTCAAAGTCCACTCACTCTGTCACTCTTTCTTCCTTTCTCCCCCCTCTGTCATATATATAAATGACAACATAATGAAACTCCACACACTATTTTAAAAAACGAAATGATAGAAGTAGAATGCTAAAACAAATGAGTGGACTTGTCCAATATTTCCTATATGCATGTATGTAATGATCAAAATGGAAGTCCTTCTTGTCATTGATGTATGCTAACTCAAAATAAAATTTTAAAACTGGGTGAGAATGAAGGAAAGGATGAAATTATCCAAGAAGAAATGTACCTGGCTTTTGAAAATCAACCCCTCTGTAATCACCTTTATAACAAAAGTAAGAAATTCATTTTAAAACAGTAAAACAGAAGAAAATAGTGAGCCTGAAGAAAATCTAAAAAGATTGAAAATACGCATGTGGAAAACTTAACCAAGGAAAGAATTGTAGATGTGAAAAATATTCGTTAGAAATTGGTAAATTAAAAAAAAAATCTAAATGTCACTGCTTGTTTGGGGTTTAATAAATGGATGTATAAGGTAAAATTCTTTTTAAGCAAAGAACAACAGAATAAAACTTTTTTATTATTGTAGAGTTGATAAAAAGAAGGCTTATAGTTACATGAATCAGGTAATGAGTAATGAGTACAATTCTTTTTTTGTGAAAAAATCCATCATGTTTAATTGCTAACATTTTACCATGACGTCATGGGACACAGTGTTCACACACATGCCTTTTTCACAGGCTTGAAGAAGACATGGAGATATTTTGCTGGGATCCCCAGCTCTCTTTTAAACTAGCTTTTTAAGTTAATGGCTTACAAAATACAACACAAAAGCCACCTCATCATTTTTTTTCTTTGAAAGCATCTCTATCCTGTAAGAATTCACTTTGTGGCAGGCAGAGACCTCATTATAACTCTACCCATCTCTAAGCAATTCCAAGATGAATCCACCACTTAAATCAGAGCTGAATTTGTTGTCCTGGTGGTGGCGGGGAGGGAGGGAATGTGGAGTAAAGTTCTCCCTACAGAAGGAGTCATGGCAGGAACAAAATACCAAGAAAGTCAAAACCATGTTCAGAGAGAGAAACAACCAATCAACAAGGCCTATGGACAAGCAGCCGCCAATCAGAAGAATCTCAAGTAGCACCATTAAAATCTGTCCCCAAGCCCACACCAGCACAGCAGCAGCAGCTTCTGCCTCTGTGGTGAGGCTGCCTATGTGGCCTTTAGCCATGTTCAAATAAAGCTTTGCTACTCTTGGGAAAAAAAAAGAAAGGATTCCCTTGACTACATTACTCAGGGTTGAGGTAGCTCTATCTGCTGAAAGCCGCCTTATTCCAGAACAGAGAAAAAACTTCACTCTTACTCTACCATCTCATCGTCTCTGTGCTCCCTGGGGTTTTTGTTTCCATCCTCCAATTTCTTTTTCTTCTTTGTTTTTCATTCTAGAGTAAATTGAGCAATCTTCTGGTTCTTCTCACTAAGAGCTTCATGTCATCAGTGTTAATTGTGCTTCTTTTCGCGTGTCTGACAAACATCTCAAGGTCTTTGGCAAAATTATTGCATTGCCGAAAAGTCAGCTCCAAGATTGTTGCAATGGTCTGTTTGCCAAACGGCATCTTTTTGTCCAATTCAACTTCTTTGCAAAGGCAACCAACTGTATAGTGAACTGCAGCCTTTAGCCTGTGCTGGTAAGAGAATCACTGTTGCTCCTTGGCTTCCTCTCCCTCCTCCTTCACTGTGGATCGTGCCACGCGAGAGCACGAAGGTTCAAGAAGGACACAGCTGCACAGTCAGACTGGGCTTTTCATGAGTACAATTCTTTTTGAACCATGTCTCCCCTTCCATTGTTCTCTCCTGATTTTTCCTTCCTGTCCCCAGTGATAAGACAAAGTTCATTTTCCACATACTGTGTAGTGAGTACCACTATTGTATTTATTCACCCTTGTTCCACCTTCTATGTGCCCTTCTCTATCCTCCAAAATACAAACAAACAACACAAAAAGAAAAGAAAAGAAAAACAGCAACAATGGGAACTAAAAAGTATCTCTTGTTTCCATTCTTGGAGTTCATTTCATAGAATATTACTTTATATGATCAGGTGCACATAGTTATTGAGCCTTTCTCAAACACTCCTATGCATAACCTCTTTTGGTCTCATTGTGTGAATGTGTAGAGTCCTATATAATTTATCATTTCCCAGTATATGTGCATATATGTGTGTGTATTTTTAAATGATTCACTTTGTTTACTTGTAGATTCATAGGCACATTCTAGTTACCACAAATGAGGGAAACCATGCAGCCTATGTTTCTTTGACTCTGGATAATTTCATTTAATACAATTTTTTTCAAGACTTTCCATTTCCTTAGAAATTGTGCAATATCATTCTTTCTGATGGATGAGTAAAATTCCATTGTGTATATATACCACAATTTGTTGATCCATTCATCCAATGAGGGACAGCTAGGTTGATTCCATATCTTGATTTTCATAAACAATGCTGCAATGAACATAGTTGAGCTGGTGGCTTTAGTGTAGTCTTATTTGTAGTCCATAGGATAAATGCCCAGGAGTGGGACTGCAGGCTCATAGAGATCAATGTTGACTCTTTTAAGGACCTCCATAGTACTTTCCAGTGTGCTTGAACAAGTTTACATTACCACCAAGAGTGTAATAGAGTTCCTTTTGGACACATCTTTGAGTCTTTAGCCCATTCATTGATTGGGTTGTTGAGTTTTCAAGGTTTTTTAGGGGGTGGGGGTTTAGTGTTTGAGCTCTAAGTATATTTTGGATATGAGCCCTTGTCTGATGCATAGCTAGTAAAGCTCTCCCATACTGTAGGCTTCTATTTACCTTGCTAGCTATGTCCTTTGCCACACAGAATGTCTTCAGTTGATACTATCCAATTTATCCAGTCTTTCTATGATTTGTTTCATTTTGGATCTTTATTTAGGAAATTTTGAGTCTTGCCTAGGAGGCCTAGAGTTTCCCGCACTACTTCCTATAATATTTTCACAGTATCTCTCCTTACATGATCTTTCATCCATTTAGAGTTGATTCTAGTACAGGGTAATATATGAGTATCTAGCTGCAGTTTTCTGCATGTAGATAGTCAAATTTTGCAAGCACCATTTGTTGAAGAGGCTGTCTTTCCTCCAACTCATGTTGTTGGTGGCTGTATGTTTGTGGGCTTATTTCTGGGTTTCTATTCTATTCGATTAATCCTTAGGCCTATTCGTGTGCCAATACTAAGATGCTTTATTACTATGACTTTGTAGTAAAACTTGAAGTTTGGTTTTGACATTTCTCCAGCACTTTTCTTCCTCCTAAGGATTGTTCATGCTATCCTGGGTCTTTTATTGTCCAATATCAATTTTTTATTGATTTTTCTATTTCTTTGAAGAAACTCTGGGATTTTGATGAGTACTACCTTGAATTTGTACATTGCTCTGGGCAGAACTGTCAGTTTTACTATGTTAGTTTTCCCCATACAGTAGCACAATAGGTTTTTCCATTTCCTTAAGTCTGCTTCAATTTCTTTTTACAGAGGTTTAAAGTTTTCACAATAGAGGTCCTTCATACCTTAGGTTAAGTTAATTCCTAGGTATTTTAATTCTTTGAGGCTATGGCAAATGGAGCTGCTTTCCTGATTTCAGCATTGCTCTTTTCATTTTTGGCATACAGGAAGACTAATGATTTTTGTGGGTTGATTTTATACCCCACTACTTTGTCCAAGTTTCAAATCAACTCAATACAGGATCATGTCATATGCAAAGAGGGATGGCTTTACTTCTTCTGTCTTATTTGTATCCCCATGTGCTTCTCTTTTGCTTTATTACTCTTGCTAGAAATTCCAGCCCAATGTTGAAGAGGAAAGGAGAAAGTGGGCATCCTTGTCTCATTCCTGAATTTGGAGGGAATGGCTTTAACTTTTCCCAATTAAATATAAGGCTGGATGTTGGTTTGTAATATACAGCCCTTATTATATTGAGGAATATTCTATGGGTTCCTATCTTAAGGTACACAAAAGTACAAATATTCATGGTTAGGGAGATCAAAGCTTAATAGAACTTTCACAATGACAGCTACAGTAGCTGCCTTATGGTCAAGATCTCACAAGCAAAGTGTATAGGAATATATGGAAGACTCTCAAGTCTGCAAGGAAAAAACACATAAA